ATCTGAACCTGAAAAAGAGCATAATATGACACCTTTAAGTATAACAAAAAGGTAACCATAATCTCTGGTCACTTCGACACCATTAAAACAACTTTTACAGGGTTTTGTTTATTTCCACATAATTACCTTCCTTGTAGCACTGGTACTCTTGAGTTGTTGTTCTGTTAGACTCCTCAACACAATCAAATCAAATAAACCTGGGTGGTGAGAGTGATTGGCAGTAAGGTGTGTTTAATACTTGATTATTTGTGTGACTCCCTTGTAATCATGATAGTAATTGCCAAGTATAAAACACACTTAATGTGGAGCTGAAGTGGAAAACAAATCATTCTTCGCTCGCTGATGTTTGTGCAACCAAACGGCCGGCTTCCTGCATGAGTTCTCCTCAAAATGGTTTTGAATGTCTTTGTTTTCTTTGTGTAAAATAAAGAAAATGCTTGTGTCTGTAAACGCCCGTGCTGCCTTCAGGCTGCTCAGATTTTCATATCACAACCAGATGCACTGGAGCACACCAACACGTATAAATTCACTTTTCAGGGGAAGAAAACAACACACCCAATAATTCAGCAGTGTCATAAACACATTCATACATATGGACGAATCGCCCGCAACGCCGGTTTGAGCCCAATGTTTTTTTCATGGCCTTCTCTCCATTATTGGCTCTGCTTTCGGGCCTCGGGGTGCCATCAAAGATTCAGGTCAGCTGTCGGCAGCTCGGCAGCTCGGTCGCCACGGAGATGAAGATGCCGCCGGGTTCAACCGCTCAGATACAGAGAAGTCGAGACGTTACGACTGGAAAAAACAAAACGAGCAGTCCCACGATGTCTCAGAGAAGATCAGGAGCCTTCCCACAACTGCACATGTTCATTTATTCATGGGCTGTGTGATATGGGAAGGATACTGTAAACACACACACACACACACACACACACACACACACACACACACACACACACACACACACACACACACACACACACACAGCATATCTCTGTACCAACACGTTCCTGATAAAAGAATAAACAGCAACATGCTTAAGCTCATCATATTCTTTAAGAGAGATAACAGAGTCAGGGTTGGTTATAAACGTCAACAGTCAATACGGTTAAATATTTTAGGAGTAAGGAAGAATTATTCTCTAACAGTTACCTCAACTTAATCTACTAGTTTAGTAACTATTGCACATAAACGTATGTCAAACAGTGACAGCTTAAGTCAAATACAACAAAATACTAAAGTGCTTATACAGAACAACACAGTTTAATTGTGATCGACATAACTACACTGTAGCTATGTACGAATGACATTAAAAGCCTTGAAATCTACTACTGTAGCCTGGTCGGCCTCACGTTGGTTGAATTGTTCTCTAGCTTTAAGCAGCAATTCTCTCATCTGTGCGCCTAAATAACTTGTTCTAAGAGATCCTCCTGCAGTGTTTGTTGTTGCAGCATCTTCTCGCTCTCCGTGCTGTCGGACTCCCCTCCGCCCTCAGAATAATCATCGTCTGTCACTGATGACTGAGGCGTCATTTAGCCCAGTGTTTTCCGGGGAGATTCCCCGTGGTTAATTCCATCAGTCACACCGTTAGATTTCCCTGCAGCTCTCCTCGCTTTACAGGAGCCTGGAAATATTAAGAAGGCTGCAGCGAATCAGACTCCATCTCCGGGGAAAGAGACTCCGGCGCTCCGCTGTGATCGCTAAACCTTAAAACCACAAAGTGAATATTGGAATATTTCAGCCCAAATGGAAAAGCTTCCATCGTCTCGTAAGTATTTTGCTAACAGCTTCATCCTGAGTCACTTAAAGGATAATTAAGTGCAAACAGCAGACTCAGTTCCTCTAAGCCCAACCAATGATTGCTAAAGAGGACTGAGCTGTGTGGACATCAGGAAATCTCCTTCATCGTCTCAGACGCTGTGCTCATTGTATTTGGCTTCCAGCTCAGTAAGTACATTTCACCTGACCAGAGTCCCCGAAAAACATCTGTCTGCCCAGCTGTTCCACGACCAGAGGCCTTGAATCAAGACCAAAAAGCAGTTAATGTCTCTGTGTTTAGTAATTTGATCGTCATGATAAATATTTAATTAAGCTTTAAATGTAGTAAAAGTGAACATCCACATTATGACTTCACAAACCATTTCTTTTTTCAGCAGATTAATCTAAATTTGCCTCTAGAGATGAAACCACTTATGTGCTTATTGCCCCTTCTCCCAAAAACTAAATTACTAACATATATACATATCTTTTTCTTTTCTTTTCTTTCTTAAAGTGGACCTATCATGCTATATTGGAAAAATATATTGTAGGGCCATACCTATACGAAACATGTCTGTGAAGTGTTTTGCTTAAAATACCAAACAGTTCACCCATTGTAGCCACGCCTCATACTGCTCAAACCCCTCTTTTGCAGCCCTGTTAGAGAAACA